TTCTTATTCAGCTGAATAATTGATTAATGCAAATGAGATATTTACTATGGAAAAATGCATGCAAATGTGTGCAAATATTTAAATTTAATTCTCTTTCTTTTGAAAAATATTTCTCTTGACGCTGCTGCTTGCATGTGAACAGTTCTGGAGGTTGAGTTCCTGATTTCCATATCAACATGCTGCCAGTTCCTGGTTTCTATTTTTAGAACACATCAGGGCTAAATGAGGAAGTGGGGGGGCTATATTATTTCGTAATGATGATTGGTGCTGTTTCTTACCTGAGGATATTTTTGGCCCTGCCAATGCAATGAGATTAGACTCATGAGCAAACAGAGGAGATAATGAGGGGTGGTGCTGTGGGGATCTGATTACTGTCTTCTAATTCAGCCTGACAAAGCCCAGATGTACGAATGGGAAGAAAATAAGGAGCCATGAAGGGAATGTGGCATCAAATCTAAATTTAGAGCTCAGTTTTTTTAAAGTGATGATGGAAATAGTGACTGTTTTCAAGCCCCGCAACACAAAACAGGCAAGCACAGCTACAACATCTGCAGCTGATTAATAATGCCCAATAATTAGCAGCGGGAAGCTGTACCCCACAAAACTACACCAACCAAGGTAAATACGGAAAATTCTTCAAATGGAAAATTCACTTCATGAAGAAAACACAAACCACCTTGCAGCTGAGGCTTACAGACTAATGGCTTCCAGCTTCAGCAGGTCAAAGGAAAACAATGGAAAATGACAACATTAAAGGCAAAAGTAAAATAGTTTGCACGTTTAACAGCAGTGGTTGGAATGATAATAATGCAGGCTGAAAGAGGTGATTTCTTTCTTTAAACTTTCCATGCTGACTGCAGAAATTTAAACCATGAGATAACATAAATTAGTGCTAATAGCAACAACACGTGTAACCTTATTTTGACAGTTACAGTAAAGGTCTTTTTGTATAGGAATATTTAAAAAATATAAATAAAACCAAATAAACTAAATCAAAATAATAAGTTCCTCTTTTGTGTTTTTATTATCTGTTCATTAGTCTTGCAGAATTATCAATCAGGATTTAGTTTTTTTTTTTATCTCTAAAGAAAATTAAAATGAACTTTATTGTGCACACATCAGATTTGCTCCCAGAATTCTGCATGTACACAGATCTAATTGCATCCTCTGTTTTTTTTTTACATTGCAGCAGCAATGCAACAGATTCCCTTTTATTTGGTTTACCTCTGATCAATAATTCTACAGAAAAGATTAGCTTTGGGGGACTTCACCTGTTTCTATACCGATGAATTTTTCCTCATCCCAGCTGCAGACCCCAGGGCCTAATGTTTTAATAAGAGCTTTGATGTTGCATAGTTGGTGCTTCAGTTGAAAATCAATTGCGATAGTTCTGTTCATACATGCCTTTTTTCCATCTCTTTTTTTTACAAAACACAGAGTTTGAGAGGGTAGAATGGCTGACGCACAGGGGAAAGAAAATGTAATAGCAGAGAATCAAAGAGGCAGGAATGACTCCTTTAAAGATATATTATGCCTCCTTTGGCCCTGGTTAGGTGGTATGATTGAGTGGTGTGAGTGTGGAAGAAGACAGCAGGAGTGGAGGTAGTAATTTGGACGACCTTAGGGGCTTCAAAGAACAAGAAAGGTAGTTAGAGCAAAAATAAAGAATGGTAATTGTTATGATTCTGTCTCTGTCTGCCCAGATCATGCCTCAGTTTAGTTTTATTATCTTATTTCATGTTCCAGTTTCTCCTCACAGTCTTGTTCCCAGCCTTACAGCTCACATCCAGCTCCTGCTCATTGCTCTCGCCCCTCCCTTCATAGAAACCCTAATCAAGCTCATTTCACTCACCTGTTTCCTGCAGTATATAATCCAGTCTCACTCTCCAGTTCACTGCCAGTCAAACAAGTTTAAACAGTACACTATTTAAAATGGGAAAACATCCAACAGGTAATTGCGAGTTTTGTTTTCTAGGAGAGATAGTAAAACATGTTTTGTTGATTATATAAATTGCGTCCTGATCCACACTCCATACCAGTAGGTGGTGGTAATGCACTCCATTAAGTTGCTTGCCAACCGCCATTTAAACAAAAAGAAGAAGTTCACTGCCAGAATATCATCAGCTTGCCTGTGGTTCTCCAGCGTTTTCATCCATGTCTCGTTTTTGCCTCTCGATCCCGACCTTGTTCTTGTCCCCTGGTTCAACGATTTTCGCCTCAGCCCCTAATGGATTATAACTGCCATCTGCTTTACCGGTAACGACTCATGCCTTGCTTCTTGGACTCCTGTTCTTTGCCTCACCCCTGATCGGTACCTCCAGCCATCTGACCACCTGGATCTCGACCCACGCTTGTACCACGGATTATCAGAACTTGCCTTTTGGAACCGAACACTCCAACCAAACTAACAGTGACGTCACTGCACCGTGCTGGAATGCAAACCTTTCCATCAAAGTTTCTGTCTGGAGTCCTTCAACTGGAAACAGGTTAGTGGTTTTAATTCTTTGGAAAGTCGTCCTATATCGTTCTGCCACTAATCTGAATTTCCTGTGTTTAGATCTGATGAGAATCTGGTCCAAGCACTTCCTGGTTCATTCACTTTTGCACAATAAACTTTGTAAAACTTTTGTCTTGGTCCGGTGCTTATTCAGAACTCAAAACTCGGTTCTTATCAGTAATGTGTAAATACTTCATTGACTAATGGTGTTTTTCCTGTTTTTAAATCTGCTTTGGTTGTACCCATCTTAAAGAAGCCTGGGCTTGATGTTGATTCTGTTGCTAATTACAGAACCATCTCACAGCTATCATTTTTATCAAAGATCATCGAAAAAGTTGTTTCACAGCAACTTATCAGCTACCTGTCTGCTAATTTGTTCGATGTTTCAGTTTGCTTTTAGATCTAACCACTCTACAGAAACTGCTTTAATGAGTGGTGAATGACTTATTGGTAAACGCAGACAGTGATCATCCTTCTGCCCTATTGCTATTAGACCTAAGCACAGCTTTTGATACTGTTCATTGTTTCTTACTGGATAGACTTGAACATGGTATTGGAATCACAAGTAATGTACTTTCATTGCTGAAATCATAAAGGGGCAATATCATGTAAAATCAACTTTTGAGTTTTATGTTATGTTATACACTCATAAAAAACATGCCCAAAGCCTTGCTTTGACTCATTCATGCATGTTTGAGAAATCCTGCAGCGTTTTTAGGAAGCCATGCTGAGGAGCAAAAGGACAGGTGGGGACCAGAAACACCCCTGGGACGTGTCTTTAAGCAGAGCTTTCTCATCACGGGGCACACCTCCCCACCCCACACACCCCGCCCATGACTCCTGCAGGCTCTCGGCAGTAACAAAGTGCAAGTGAAACTTAACTGTCTGCTGCTCTCAACTACTTCTCACTCAGTGAAGCTCTTTTCAGATTCAAAACACCTTTGAGGAAATGTATTTTCAGATGCTAAGTAAACTGCATCATAGCACATGCGCGAACCCCCGCCCCCACGTGTTATCTAATTTTCTGCCCGTCAGCGTTGACAAGACTGATATAATCATCATTGGTCCTAAGAAGTTCCATGGCTTGTCTCAAGTTTTACCCTGCAAATTGAAAATCAGATCATTAGATGTCAAGAAATAGAAACCTAGGCATGTGGTTTGATCCTGTGCTTTCTTTTGACTTCCATTTAAAAGAAGTAACTACACAGGAAAAATAGGAGAGTAATTTTTTCGGAGTTAACATTATTTTCATCTGAAAGTGTCATTTTTATACATTATAGAGTGAAATAAATTCAATTGGTCAATAGAATCGGAACAAAAAAATAGAGTAAATCATATCAGAGTAAAACAAGAACACGCCCACTGAAGTTCCTTAAGTTTCGTTTCTTCCACCATCTTGTTAACCCCGCATTGGAACGGAGGCGACGGTTATCTGTGTGCCAGGTAAGTCCCCAAATGAGTTGTAGATGTATTTTACGTGGGGTTTTATGATTTATTTTTAGTATTAAGACTAATTATCTCTAGTGGAAAGATGACGTGCTGCTGTGTGGTCGTGGGGGAAGGAGGGGTGCAGCGAGGAATTTATTAATTAATTTAAGAGGAGCTAGCTGTACAGTCTACTGTACAGCTGTACAGTCTGCTAGCACGTGGAGCCAGGTTTCTGCCCATAAAATGGTGCGGGAGGATTATGNAAATTCCTTTTTAGTCAGACTAAAAGTTATCTCTACTTAGAATAGAATGCAATTCTATTTAGAGTAAATTATMTTCCACTTTGAGTTAAAATATGGTGGAGTAGTTTTTATTTTAAACAACTTAGAGTAAATTCTCTTGGCAGTGATTAAAATTTTTGCACTAAACTGAGTTGATTTTACTCTGTAATTTCAACTCTTCCATGAGAGTAAATTTTACTCTATTTAGAGTGGGACCAAATGTTGTCTTTTTTAGAGTAAAATTTTTTTCAAATTGAGTAAATTTTACTCTGGAAATTTTACTGTGTAGGACCGCCTTTTACCACCTCAGGAACATCGCCAAAATCCAGCACATTCTCTTTTGACAATGCTGAGGTCCTTATCCACGCTTTTGTGACCTCAAACATCGACTATTGCAATTATCTCCTTTCTGGACTACCCAGGAAAAGTTTTAGATGTCTGCAGATGGTCCAGAATGCAGCTGCCTGTATTTTAACTCATTCCAGGAAATAAGAACACATCACCCCTGTATTGTCATCCCTTCACTGGTTGCCCTGTCAGGTTCGAGCTGACTTTAAGGTCTTGCTACTCACCTATAAGGCTTTAAATGGCCTGGCACCTCCATATCTCACCAATCTCTTAAATCCTTGCGTTCCGTCGCACTAATATCTAAAGGTACTGGCCTATTAATAATTCCAGAAGCTAGAAGAAAGACCATCAGTGAACGTGCCTTCTCATTTCGTGCCCCCTTTCTGTGGAACTATCTCCCTCAGGACAACAGGCAAGCTTGTCTTGTAGAGGTTTTTAAAGCTAAGTTAAAGATGCACCTGTTCAAATTATCTTATCTTAATTTTACCTTTTTCTTAATTGTTTTTGACCTGTTCTGTGATTTTATCTCTTGCCCTCTGTGTTTTTATCTTGCTTTTTGTGAATTCACCTCTTGTCATTTGTGATTTTATCTCCTGTTCAACGCATTGTTTGAAAGCGCTTTATAAATATTATTATTATTATTATTATTGTTGTTGTTGTTGTTAAAAAAATGAATTAGATATTTTTTTACTTGAATCAGAAAAAAACCCTCAAATGTCCAGAAACCTGATGAGATCAGGTAACTCTTTCAGTATAAAAATTAAATATAATTTGAAATACAGACAGAAAACAAAATAAATATAAAACACTGGCCACACAAAGAAATTGCCAGGCCCTTTAAATGACCGGTCAGCTCAAACTGACCACACGTTACAAAGTTGGAGCACAGGAGCTCACAGATAAATGGCAAGTGCGACACTGCCGGCTGGCGCTGACCTCACCGCTCGTCATTAGTCAGTGCGCCAACAGGACAAGTTTATTTTGGTGGAACTCTGTTGTCTTTAGCATGTGGATGCCACATATCACCACGGGTTACCACAGAGATGTTATGGTGCACCTCACAGACAGATGCTGGCTTCCAGACTATGACAGAAGCAAACATTTATGCACAGGAGAAGAAAAGGATCTATTGAGCCAAAGAATGTGGGAATGTGACAGACTAATAGACACCTGGGCAAACAGGATATTATTTAGTCTTAACTTCTGCAGACTAGGACCGTACTGAAGGATGTTTAAGAGAAAATTTAAAGATTTTTGGAAAATGTAACAAACAGGTTTTTAGTTTTTTTTCCTGATGTGTGCTCAAAATGTAAGAACTTCCTGACTTTGAAGACATGCTCAATAACTGTTAAGTGTGTTATATGTTGATTTATTTGTAATATTTTCTAAATAAACTGGTAAATGCCTTTCAATATTCAGTCAATTTATGAGGCCACAGAGGTCACTAAAAGCTGTTTGAAT